AGTTGCAAAAATCCTGGGCGACACAGTGCTGGAAACTAGAAAAGGAAAAAAAAAATGGCAGCGACGACGGCGGTGGTTTTTATTGCCAGTGGCAGGATAATAGCAAGCAACAATGGCCGTGGGAAGGCATTGCAGCTGCATCCTTGTTGTCATTTCTAACGTGGCTCTCATTGGTGTCCTTAAAGTCCTGATTCCCTTCCACTGTCATTCCCACTCCTTTCCACAGGAGTCCTGTGAACTTCATTTTGTTGTCGTCAACACTCGCTGGGATTCTTCCGCACAGAAAAGAAATATCGGGACAATTCGTTCTTGATTGGGGTTTTAAATATCAATTGAACAATTTGGAGGTGCCATATGAAAATAAGGTTGAATTCAAAAGTTTTGTACAATAAATGGGTTCGATAAAATGAAATATATTTCCCAACCAAACTAAAAATAATAAATTGAGTTCAAATAACACGGAAATATAAAGCAATAGTTTATTAAGCACTTGTTTTTATAATTTTTTCCGGTGTTGATCCCTGCAACTTGATTGTTGTTCTCTGCTGCTTTGTTTTTTTTTTCTGCTTTGTTTCGTTGCCGACAATTTTTTTATGCCATTCGCATTGCTTTGGCGTACATTTTCCTACTTCTTTTTGGGGTCCTTCGTTTTGTGATTTGCCAAATTGAATTTCCAACTCAATTTGCCGACCCAACAACCTCATCTAGACTGACTAATTAGTCTGGCGCTGAAAAGTGTGCTACGACAAAAGTAGGACCCCTATAGCAACCAGCTTCTACACAATCGCAATTAGTCTGGGGAAAATTGATGAGGATATAAGGCTCTCAAACTGTCGAAATGCAAGCTTATTTCGTAAACAGAAACTGGCCAAGCCGAGAGCCATGCATAAAATGAATATCAATTAGGACAAATGAGAGTGGAGAGCCGGCTTCGATTTCAAAGATGTTTATGCAGCATCTCTGTGTATTCTGTGTATTATTGTTGATGGAATGTCTGAATCCTATGGCAGAAATTTCGACGACTATATTTTCACATCTACAGAGTAAGAAATAGTAGTCTTAATTGTGATTTAAACTCAAAGTACTCTGTTCGAACTCAAAACGAAAGTAATCTAAATCTAAGCGAAGCTTTTTTAATTGATTATCTGTTCATAATATACTTTAGCAATATAATTCTTATTTTGAATTGGTTCTACTTTTTCTATTTTCATCCCAAAGACATTTCTTTGAGTGCAAAGCGTTCCAATTTCATTTGAAGCAGATAAATACATATACCCCACTTTGTGTTACTCTAATGTTGCCTGGCAGATACTAGAATTTCGCACCCAAAAACGGTCTGGGGTGGCGATTTCTCATTTTGATTTGCTAGTCCGTTTTTGTGCTCTTTTATTATCTGCTGATTTCTATTTGTATTTGTATCCGAATCCGGAATGTGTATGCGAGGGCGTCTTTCATGCTCTGATAAATAAAATGAATTGAAAAAGCAAAAACCAACACACACCAGCACACAAGAAGGAGAAGGAGAACCTATACAAAAAAAAAAAGAAAAGGAAACTCAGCTCAGGGATAACAGATTAGTTGGAGCTGACTAGCAGCGTCCTGTCTTCCCATGGAAATCAAAACATTTTGTTAAAAGGAAACACCCACACACAGAACCAAAGCCTATTCACACAGATACGAGCGCGTTTATCTGCGGAAGCGGAGATACGTTCTACGTGCTCTAAACTGCCAACTTCGCTTCAATGGAAACTGTCTATCAGTGGATCCTTGTGTGTGTTTGGGTGTGCGTGTGTGTGTGCTAACGCATTTTGTTGCCAACTTATGTGTAATAAAATGTAATAAAATAAAACTCTCATATTAGAGATGTTGTGCCATTTTTTTTGTTGTCTTCCTGACCCCATAAAAAGCACACCAAATGTCGGCTAGTCTAGTTTGGTCTTTTTGAGCTGTCTGCGGTTGGTATTAGCCACATTACACATACGCAGTGTTGCCCGGACAGAGATCTTCGTGATGGTAATGGTAATCATAATGACAATCAGACTGAAGTGAGCACAATGACACATAACAAGGCTTATTAGGATCAGCGAGTTAATGGCCATGTTGATTAACATCAAGTGGTCTTAACAGCAGATTTCACTTGATTGATGATTCGTTCAGCAATTATGCATTGCATACAATTTTGCTTAATGAATTCATTACAATTTAATTAAACTGGTCCCATTTATCTTTACGTTTCTGGTACTTATTTTATGAAAACCTTAATACACATTGTTAACTTTTGTATTGATAAAAACCCAAATTTGAATTTAAACAACTTGAGAGGAGACTCAAGTGAATTTTGGCCTTTCCATAAACAAAGTAATTACTTTAGCAAAACAAATTAATTATTCCGCATGTTACATTCAAAGAAACATAAAAATTAAACTCGTATCAAAATACATTTAAATGTCAGTTAAAATAAATCAAGTGGCAGGCAACGCAATCTGTCAGTTATTGCCCTCCATAAATGCTAACAGAAAAAAGTTTCCCAAGCTTTTTATGGGACATTTCAACTCATTAGGCAGCTGCTGCCAAAAAGCAAAGCGAACCAAACGAAACCATTAATTACATTTGGCTGCCGGCGACAAATTGAATTAACTTGTGTCAAAGTGCAGCGTATTGATTTTCTAATTGGACCCAAAGACCACAGCGGCAAAAGGGCCATTAAAAATATTATTTTCCACAAGCGGAAAATTAATAATTTTTTAAATGAATTTTCTCAAACAAACCGAATGGTAAAAGAAGGAATAACCGAGAGCTGACCATTAAGTTAATGAGGGTCATTGTGAGACGGCATGTTGGCTCTTAACACCTTGCAACAGCTGATGGCCACAAAGGACGCGCCGGATAATGATGTTGTTGTTTATACACTTGCCTCTCGACGCCACTCCCCCTCGCTTCTTAAACTACCGCCCCAGGATGTTTCCGAGGAGCGGAAAGCAGCGAATCCAAAGGACTTTTTAATGTGGCAACTTCCGTCGACGGCGGAGAGAGAAAAGGAAGATGACGGCGACGACGACGAAGAGGACGCCTACTGCGGCGGAAACGGAAGCCAAACAAATATGGCCGACGCACGCCTGGGCGGACAAAAAAGCAACAATAAAACTTTTTAATGCATTTTTAGGTGCCCGAGTTGGGGGCGGCTATGCTGGTATGCACAGTGGAGCAAACTGTGTTATAAGTCACGTTAGGAATCAACAAAATGAAAGAAGAAAAAATGTTTAAACAAATATATTGGTTGGTTGTTACTTAAACCATTCTTGTAATGAACAGACTCTGTATATATCGAAATCATAAATTTAATTCTGTAATCAAACCCCAAGCAAAACATTTAAAAACGTTATCTATTTTAACCATATTTAATATCATTCACAAACCCTTCTAAGCACCCATATTAAACCAGTTTATTAACTTATTCCAGCACTTCATAAACACCAATTTTCATAACATCATTTTAGTGCGAATTCAGTTAAATGAATATAAATGTATTCATCAGGCGAATTCCATTACCCGACTTATCCCTTATAAAGCCGCATTAATTACAAGTTTACGCTAATTAAATTTTCACAACTTCAGCGCCACCTCACCACTGTGCGACCTCCGAGGATTATATCCGTGAATTTTTGCCAGCCCAACTTTCGGAGGTCAAATTATCCCCCGCTGGTGTCTTTACAAATTTCTGATTTGCCACTGAAATATTTGGTCCACATTTTGTTTTGGTTTTTATTTTTGCGTATATATAATTTACGCCAATTTATTTTTGTCGTTTTTAATGCTCTCGTTTTTCAGTTGGAGCCTGCGGTTAGCGCGGGAAGACCGTAAAAAACAGGAAGTTTTTGCCTCTGACGTTGATGATGATGATGATGACCGAAGCGTAGAAAACAAAACGCTGATACTGAATGGATGAGGAGTGGGGGGAAGTTGGCCAAATGACAGATAACAGTAAACAGGACATAACGACAATTTAAATGACATTTTTAGTTGGCATTTATGGTTGAGCAGTGAAGGATAATGGTTTCTCTCTTCGCATCCAGCCAACTCTATCTATATCATTGCCTCCCCTGTGGTTTTTCAAGTTCTCGTATATGCATTGTGTATGAGTGTGTGTGCTTTGGATAGTGACATGCGATATTTGATCAATAAACTTGCCAGGACAGCACAGGATACACCATGATGTGTGTATCCTGTTTTTGCCAGCTCCCCGAGTTCCTGAACCCAGCTGAATTACACTCCCCAGCGTTGGCTGCTTTGGCTTATTTTTCCTTTTGACTCAAGCCGCATTCATTATGAAAAGCAAACAAGGTAGACGCCACTAGACGCCACATCAATCCGGCTCTTTTCCGCAGCCGGGCCAAAGCGTTTTCGCACGTTTTCCTTCGCCTTCGCCTTGCCAGGCAGCAGATCAAAGGACCTCGTCCTCCTCCTTGGCGGCGGCACTCGAGGGGTTTCTCTGGCTCTGGCTCTGGCAAAAACAAAAACCCTCCGGCCTGTCTCAAGCGTTATTTATTGTTAACGAAATAGCCGACGCCTACCTACCCAGCCCCACCACCCGCACCCTTATGCACAAAATCTCTCTTAGAATCAACCCCCGAAAAGCCTTGAGGGCAGGTTAAAGTTAAAGGGCCTCGGATCCTTTCGGGGTTGCCAGACCTGCCAAAAGGACACGGACAGAGGCCGAGACATTATCATTATTCCGAGCTGTCTGGCAATTAATCAAATGCTAAATGCCAACAAAAAACGCATTTTGCGGCTTACAAGGCTGTCGACTTTTGGGGGTTAAAAGCAAATTACATTGAAAGGTTCCGTTTTGCTAAAATAAGATGTACAGTGGAAAGATAGGCAACAAATCAACCCAAATCATGCAACAAGTTGAATCGCTTAAAAAGGGATTTACAGATATTTTTTAAAGGAGCCTAAAAAGTATTTTTCATAGCATTACGAAATGACTTGTTAACACTTACATATTTAAAGTTATATTCTAAAGATGCCAGCGGTAATCTGTAAAGAAATATCAGAAGTTAATAAGGTAAACATTTAAGTGCAATTTAAAGTTTATATCACCGAAATGATTACAGCACGTTTACTCAATTAGCCTGACCACTTTAGTTAAATTTTACTGTAAATCAGTTAAACCTGGATGTCCTTGTTGTCTCGTTATTGTTTCAATTGTTTTTGGCCAGCCTGTCCCGATGACAACAAAACTAAATTAACACGGACAGACGCAGCCGGACAAACCCATGGAATCACTACTGTCCTGCTCAACTTCCCCCGATTTTCCCTTCAGCAGCAGCATCCTCCCATCCGTTTCGCACTCTCGTGTTGGTTCTCTCCAACACACAAAGCCAATTGACAGTATGGATGCTCTGGGGGGGGATTCGACAGGACTTTTCAGAAGGGAGGAGCCAATTGAAAGCAGCACACAAGGATTACAATCTATCAGCTCCGTCCCTGGTCCCCTTTTCGCCGTCCCTCTTCTCCTTTTTTCTCCATCTGCACTCATGAAGCGTCCGAATTTTTGAACTTGTCAAGGATTCAAAGTTCGAACGCTTTCGGACCATGGTCATATTGGTGGCTCCATCTCGTTCACTCTGCTTAAGTACCAATCTGTTCTTCCCTTTCGCTCCTTGTTCAACTGCAGCTCAGCTCTTGTCGCATTGCAGTTTTGCCAGGGTTCAAGCGCTTTGTGTGTGTTAAAACGCTTTTTATTGTTGTAAATTTTTGGGTGCAAGGTTTGTATGGAAGGCTATTGTTGTGCAGTCTAACTTGGCTAAATGGAAATTAAAAAGAAAAATCCAGGAAGAGTTTTGAAAACGTTTTGAAGGGTTTTCAAATGTATTTTAATAATACATTTTTTAAATATCATTTGCATTTTAATAATCAGTGGAAGTTTTAAAATCAGTTAGTTACGTAGATTAAGCATAATAAGTGTATTATACCCAAATATCAAATTTAAGAAAGTAAAAGCCATTGTTTAGTTTAGTAGCTGAAAATTGTCAAAAGCAAGTTCGATTTAGAGAAGTAGGCCTGTAGTTGCTTTTGGCTTTTCGATGATTGCCAAAGGTTTTTACTTCGGCCATTTGCATGGGCCAACAATGCGGCTGTGTGCGTGAGTATCTGTGCCTGTATCTGTGCATGTATCTGTATCTGGCAGGCAACTCTATTACACTTAAAACGAGTCAATGCGTTTTAAAAAGGAACGAACCAATTGAACCAGCAGCCATGTATAGGAGCGGGTCAACAAGGGATCTATGGAAGGATGTGTGGGTGTAGCCTGTGATTGTGTTGATTGTGCTAGAAAGAGACAGAAAAGAGAGGGATGAGGAGGACGAAGGGGCGGGGCCACCTTGGGGAATTTGTAATTGAGGCACGTGTATGGCTAAATGATTGTGATCTTTTGGGCATTTCAAATATGCAATTAACGAACAGTAATGAGTACACAAAGGATTGGAGAATCGAAAGAGGGAATACTGCACTAGCGTAGAGCGAAATTCTTTGACATAAAAGAGGTCTAAGTGAATTACATTAATTTGGAAGCTCGTTTCTAGATTCTCAGTGAATATCAATTAATTTGGGGTTTAAGAGTAGGAAATTAATTGGGTTCAGTTGTTTTTCGTTGCTTTTCACAATAAAGTATTTTATTATGTATCTGAAAACCGAAACTTTTTCGGAAAAATCCACATTACCCGAATTATCTCAAACAAATCCAATTTATATCAAAATTGCTTCAAATCCACAATCGCCACCAAATATCCAATCACTTTAATCGAACTAGGGAAACCCCTGTTTTTAACTGTCGAAAAACGCCGTGGATAAATCTGTCCCGACAATCCGGCAGATAAACTAATATCTCTTTCTGTCCATATCCGGCACGAGCTTTCCAGTCCATTGATGACCAACCAAACCGGCGCACCATTTTACAAATTGACTTTATGCCATCCATTTCGATTGCCCCACCATCCTCCCCAAATTCCCCTGCCCTCCCTTGAAAACCTAATCCATGGTTCCTATTTAAACCCCAACCTCCCAACCCATTGCCTCACCGAACCCATCAATTCACACAAAAACGGCAGCTTAGAGCAAAGTTTTAGCAACTAAAAACGGCGTCACATAAATGAACAGAGTTGTGGACACAAAAGCGGGCAGATGCAGAGGAGATACATGGACGGGGGGGGATATAGAAAGGGTTTTCAATGGGTGGCCGATGGGTGGCCGTTGGGTGGCGGACGTGGACATGTCACGCATACTTTATCCTTTATCCTGGCAGCGTCGTGGCTTTTGGAAACGTTTCATTTTCCGTTCTGTCAAAGGTATACAAAACAAAAACTTTCCAACTGGACGGGACGTCGACGACAGCTAAATGCGCGAAAATGTTAGCCCGTAACACCTTTCACCTCCCCAAAGTAACACACCCCGTTCTCCCTCACTGCAAACACGGCAACATTGCAGCAGGGAACACAGCACACAACCAACATGCAATTAAAATGTAATTTTGTTATGCTGTAATTTGATTTCTTTTTAGCTCTCTCCCCTGTTATTTGCCATTTTTCAATTTCACATGCCAAACTTTGATGCTTTGACGGCCTGAGAATACAAAACTCTGCACTAATTTGATAAGTTAAACAACTGTCACAAGCTTAAATATTGAAAAAGTAAATGGTAAATTGCATGCTGGGCATACACATGTTGTTCTTTGGCGTAATTCCTCGTAATTCCAAAGTGATAAGGGGATAAGGGGATTTCGGGGGTATGGTATATATAACGCTTAAGCCCCGGAACAAAGCAATCAGCAGAAACCATGCGTGCGTGTGTGCCGTACAAGAATAAACGCATAAACATAAAAAATATGCAAAAATAAAAGAAATAATAAATGGGCAAGAAGCAAGCAGTCAGCGCCCGCAGCATTCGGAAGCACTAAGCGGGATAAACTTTGGATGCCACGCCCCTATAAACAAAATGCCAGGCTTTACAGCTTGCGTTGCTTAAAATTTATATACATATTTTTTTACACTAGAGGAGGGTGTTGTAATTTTTGCCTACGAATTCACAATGCACAGAAAAAAAATATACTTATTATAATTTGGTCTTACAAACAGAAGTAACATTTTAAGAAGAATGCTATTCTTGAAAGTAACCTATATGTTTAATCAATTTACTGAGTAGCATGAAACAGAGTATATTTTTACAAAGTTTTTCTTTAAGCTTTTTAAATTTCATCTGGGAAAGTTTTCAAGTGCATTCCGAGCTTTGCAGCCCTAAACGAATCTCCTAATTTCTTGGGTTTTTATTTTATTCCGTTTTCCTGGTTTTAACGCCGCTTACAAATTTTTGTTAAGCAACAACACAAAGGCACATGCACATCATACTTTGCGGGCGAGGCGAAAAAAAGGGCTCCGCCGAACAAAAAACGGAAAAGCGCAACGCGAGAAAAGCCTTCGAGTTTGAAAAATGTGTGCGAAAAATGGCCAAAAGCAGCCGCATTGTGTGGCCAGCTGCGTTGCGAGTGTGTGTATGTTAGTGGAATTCCGAGCGAGTGTGTTGGCCAAATAACGACAACAACGGCAACAAACTGAAATCGCAAAACCTACATAAAAAAGCGGAATACTAGTAGCACAGCTGTTAAGGCCGTCGAAATGTTGCAAACCATTTGCAACGTTTAAAATTTTACAATACAAACAGAGATGCACTGAGCTCGAGATAAAGGGAAAAGGGGTGAAAGATTTGGAACTAGCTGGCGCAAAGCTCTACCTAATGGAGAACAATAACTAAAGGGGGTCTCACCACCAAACTTCACCGCCAGCTGCCCCAAGGACTAGAAAACCTCACTGACAGAAACATTTACTGCACAAAATAGGGTTTACAAAAAAAAAAAAAAAGGAAATGATAGCAGCAAAGCTGCTTACACTGAGCTGCAGCAAATGAGGCTGCTTCAGTTTCACAGAAAAATTAAGTAGAAAAGGGATAATAAGAAAAGGAAATGTATAGGGCTACAATCCGAAAGGGAGAATTTGGTACTCTGCTGTTCATAACTTCTCTTATAACCAATTTTCATAAAAAGGAAGGGCAATTAGATTTCTAAAGGGATCAAACAAATTGCAAAATACATAAATAAAATAATTTTATTATTTCGAGTAAATCGATCGCTCAAAAATAAACTTCATTAGCAGAATTCTAAAAATGTTACCAAAAATCTCGCAGTGGCAGAGTGTTACCCAATTCCCACTGGTAATAATTACATTTCAAACGAAGCATCCATCAATAAATGCCATTAGCCGAAACCCAAAAATTAAAAAAAAAAAAAACAAAAACCTCGCTGTTGGTTTACCAGTCACCGAAAATTCTGGGAAATCCATGCTAAATCCCAGAGGCAAACATCATTCCATAAATAGAACGGCGTTGCCCTTTGCCAGTTTTTATTGGAAATCCTGCAGTCAAGAGCGGAACGGCAGCTGCAATGGTGTGGCATCCACGGCAATAACAACAAACGGAGGCAATTATTAGCATAGTCATTAACACAGTTGGACCCGCCAGACCAAAAGCAAATCCGGACAAATCTCCACAGAGCAGAACCTGCTAATTAGCAGGGGCCACAAAAAAAAAATAAAGACGACATCGAGTTCAATGTGAAATCAATACGGATGCGGGCTTAGAAATACATACGACCAACCATGTACCCGAACTCAATCGTATATAAGCATAATCCTTTCGAGTATATATGTATGTGTTTCGGGGAACCCTGGCAACCCAACGCAGATGCAAATTCGGTTAACAAACGGACTCTCGACCTTTTCAGGCGGCTTATTTGGCATTTTGCTTTTGTCCCAGCGGCAAATCATAATCGTAAGAAAAAACAAAAGCAGCAAAACAAGGACTTTCACAGACCGTGCAGCAGCAAATCATTTATTAAGAAGCCCCATCATCTGAACCATATTTTCCTCCCCTTAAGTCCACATCCCCACTTGGCCCGGCCTTTTCTGGGCGAGCAGCTCTTCTTGGGGCTCTTTGATTGTCAGCGGGTTCGGAATGATGGCTAAGCCGAATGCACTGAGCATCCATCTGACTCTGAATGCTGGGCGAGCATGAAAGAAATATGAATGAAAGGCAGCCGGAGGAAACTGGGACACTCAATGCATCATCATCCTAAGCCGCATCAAACGAGATTTGTCAGACGGGCGTAAGCAGCAGAAAGGCGTGAGCTGAAATTTAGACATAATAGATTGCCGTGAAGAATGGGCCAGATTAAGTTCTAGATCGGCTTTTCTCGGGAGTGGAACGAAGCGTGGAATTTAATAGTAAACTGGTCCAATACCTGTACTTACAGTTCTGCATTAAAGTGGATTTTCTGGCCAAGAACGTGTGAAATTTTTAATTAAAATTATGAAGAACATTTGGTTTACTTAGCAGTGAAACAAGGCGTGAAACTAAAAGGCACAACTGAATTTACCCACAATGTGTTATTCTAAATAAGAAATATTAAACTAATAAATCAACAATTAACAACTAATCACATTATTTGAAGTTTCCTATCAAAATACTTGATTTCAAAGAATGTGGAATCATCTCTTCATCACAAATACCAGACAGATTCCTCATTCCAGTTTAATTGAGTTAAAATATTGATAATAATCTCTCGCCCGAAATGACATTGCTTCAAAAGCTGTTCTTCCGGTTCCACAGTCAAAAATCAACTAATCACAACATCTAATTATAAACGTATTCAGTCAGAGAGTCACTCGAAGCACTCGAGTTGCAGGCCAAGAATGCAGAATTGGACAACTGGTTTTGTGGCAGGAGCCAAAATCAAACAAAAACTATGAGGGATGGCCCAATGGAAAGCACCTACTGCAATCAAGTGGCAGGACGATGTTGCAGCAAGCACACAATATGTTGCCAGCTGTACAATGGGCCACTTAAACGACAACAATAAAAAATTATTAGAATGCCAAAGGCTGCCGAGGCAAAGGACTCTGCTAAGGACTCGGCCCGGGACTCAGTCCGGCACTTCATAAATCTACCAAAGGCATATGAAATACGAGTATCCTGTGCTGAGAGCAGAGCCAATCATGTTGCATACAACCAGGGGTTGCAGCAATGAAGCACACCGAAAGAAGTGGGTAAATAAATATGTAAGGACTTTTAATTTTAAAGCTTAAGGGAATATTTTCTAATTTTTAAAAGGAATATATTGTTATGTTCGGAAGCATGATTATAACATGAAAAGTTTTTCTGTTTAAGTTTACCTTTTTAATTGCTTTATTTTTATTTATTTCAATCAATTTTTGTTTGCCGTGTCTTTATGTTCAGAAATAGAATTACCTATCTATATTTTATCTACACCTTCAACTAGATTTATTTCCAGTGAATTAAGGGACGTAGACAACCTTGTTACTACTTTTTCTGCACATATCATGGCCACCCAGGATATACCAACCCAGGACCAGCACACAAACTCACACACATTTGCCTTGTGATTTATTAACAAGCTATCGTTTATCATGTGGGCAACAAAGGGTTAATGCCTGGAGGGCCTGCTGAGTTATGCACCAGCAGCTGCAATTGCCAATTTGCTGGATGTGGCTATATGCTGTATAGGCCCTTTTTGAAAAGGATGGGGCCGTGTGGCACCCGAAAATATCCGAGAGGCATCAAGATAAACAATCGCCTCAAGATAAACAAAAGCGGAAAGTCACGAAAAGTATGCGCAAGACAAACAAAAAGCCAGCGGGAAAAAAAACGAAAAACCATGAAAGCCGCGAGAAGAATTCCGCACCGATAATTTATGTGCGCCGCCAAGAAGTTTATAAAATTAAGATATTTCCCATTAAACTTTTCATAGATGGAGAAACGGAACCCGAGCTATATGCCCATAACTTATCTTAAAAATATTTGTTTTGAGCGCTGCGCTCTCTGAGCTTTTTTTGGACATCGTTTTGGGAAAAATCTGAACGTGTTGAAGCGTTAAATTTCCATGTGGGCGGCCGGCGAGAGAATGGCCAAGAAAAGAAGAAAAATAGGTGGAACGAGAAGCAAACAAGTTGCAAGCTGGAAAAGGAGTCGACGTGGGTGCCGGGGCCAAGATAAAATGTTGACCAATAAATTTTGTGACCATGAACGACAAACACACAGAGCGAGAGGAAAATAAAAGACCAGACGAGCAAAAGGAACAAAAAGCGCACGGTCAACAATAATAAACAAAAACGATTAGAGGAAAGAGGAGGCCCAACAAATATGGAATGCCCTCTCAAGAAATCTTATTTGGGTCTTCACCAGTTCAAGAGCACAATCAAGTCATTCAACTAAATTCCTTTAAAATTTCAATTGATTTCAACACGTAACAGCATGTACTTGGTTCAGACATCAATTAAATAAATTGTACTTATGGGAGGTTGATTAATTAATAAAAAAAACGCCTTTACTGATAGGTCTAATCGCAAATAAGATTATTTGTACATTTGGCTGAATTATTATTTTTATTTCGGTAATCAACATTCATAGAGATTTTTAATTGGATGTGCCAAACAACAAGATTAATTAATTATTCAGTTCATTCAAACAATCCCTTTTAACATCGTAAAATAATGTTAAGTTAATTGGTTATTTTAAACAACGAAAATGTTGATTACTGATATGACGACATCGTAATAATGTTCTTGTTCATTTTATTTGAGGATTAAAAACGGACTATATAACCTGAACATTCTTAACCAAAAATCCAGGTAACTCCTTTTTTATAGGCAGAGTATGACAAATGTGGAAAAACTAGCGCGACTGGCGACTTGTGACTAACAAACAATGTCCAGCGATTTCCGATCGACAAGTTGGGGCCAACGGAGTGATGAACGGGGGAAAAGGCGACAGAGGAAAAGCGAATTGGAGAGAAGAGGGGCAGAGAAAGAGGAGCCGCAGCGTGTGCAAGAATGTTCCGCGAGCGTTATTAACGTGCCGCTCAACTCGTTTTTCTTATTTCAGACAACGTAAACGAAGCTGTATGCAGAGCTTATACATTTTTACGGAAAATTACCTGCAAAGGTGCCGCCCTTTCGCCTAATTGATAAGTTCATATTTGTCTACGCCTCTCAAGGTAATTTTACCTAATTAACTATGGTAATTTGGAAAATTGGGCATATTTTGGCTGCTGCTTCTTCTTACCTGTCGCATCAATGACGCACGCTGCCGACGTTGACTGCGGCAGCGACGCAGGCAGAGGAGTTTATGTTGACTCTCTCGCTCACTCAATCGCTCTCTCTCCCACTCGCACACAAACGTGTTGCGCTCACCAACACCAAGGCGAAATTGCACAGCTGAGCCTGGAAAATGCAGCGAATACGGGGCACAAAACAGAGAGCCGAAAACAATACTGTCATGTCGATTTGTTGATGCTTAAGTTCTTTTCTTTGCTCTCTACTTTTCTTTTGTTTTTATTTTTTGGCACGTGAATCGACAATCGCATTTTTCAAATTCTTGCACTCATTCGCTTTTGTGCATTTGTTTACGTCACTCGCACACGTACACCCACACGCGGGCGACTGAATGAAAGGCGCGTAAAGAAGAGAGTAGAAATGCCAGAAAGAGAGCGATAAATTTGGCAAGCCGCCGCACGCTCAAATAAACAAATAATTTATCTATATTTCTCGCCCAAGCACATTGTGCTTCATAATAATCATATAGTTTTCTAATGCCCGTTTTGCACAATCGTTTTGTGCACGGCAACAAACAATACAAAAATCGAAATTTCCACTCGCGTTTTGTTGTTGCCTTCCGAACTCTGGCTTCTTCACTTCACAGATAAGCCAATTACGATTAGAAATCTGTCGCGCAGCCTATTGTTGTTGTTCCCGCGAACATCCGAATTGCCAAACGCACATTTTATTGCATTTTAATTAATTTGCTGGCCTCGCGAGCAGCAATAAAATCGTCCGCTGCCCAGAACCAATCGCGATGAAAACAAAGAGAACTGTGTGACCGCGGGTCGACTGGCCAGAGATACCGTATTTCGCATGGGAATATACTAAAATACGCAGCTTAATACCAAAGCGCTGTGCGATTTCTAAAATGCATTAGGGTGATTCTTAGGTACACATTTGGTTGTTTTTTGGGGTCATTAAATATTTTTTGGACTTTTAAGAATTTCTGTAATTTTGATACACATATCCATATACCTGGCCTTACTTTGTAATGCATTCTAAATGGCAAAACAAAAAAAAAAAATGTTGTGATTCTTTTTTCCAACAAAATCTGTCTTCCCACCAAGAGCAAGTGTCTAAAGCTGGGTCCAAAATATTCTTGCAACCTAAAAATTTTACCAAAAGGAGGTAGACTTTTACTAACTACAGTCAAAGTACCACTTAAAATTAAAGCCTTTGAACAAATAATTCTCATTAACTCTCAATGGTTTATCCATTTTCTATCTACTACCGCCTATCAATTTCCTATTTACCTACCTATTTTAAAAATAACGGACAACCCTACTATCTATTGCACAGATTTCCTATGTTATGAACATCTGGTCACTAAAAAGTGGACATCCCCATCAATGGCAGTTTACCAACACTAATCTTTGATGGGCGTAAAAACTCATTGATAAAAACGAAATCGCTTTAAATTATAAGTTCGGGGGGCGGGCTAAGGACCAAAAGAACGTGGAGCATGTCGGAGCTGAAGGCGCCGTCGCTGCAATCGCTGCTGGAATCGGAGCGCGGCTCCACGGACAGCTTGCTGGCCGAATCCCTGCAGTTGGATTTTGAGGATGTAAGTTTGGCCAGCAAACATAATAACCCATTTAAAAATATTTGACTATTTAAACCATTGAAGCTTGATGATGCCGAGTTCGCCATTCCGCCCACCGATGTGCTACCCTCTTTGGAGGCGGTGCTCAGTGAGTTCGAGGCAGATTCGGATGTGGCCTCCGAGTTGGGAATGCCGGTGCCCTACGCCACACCCACACCTTCGATTGGCGAGGATGCCACAATAAGAACGGATGGCAGAGGCGGTGGAGGGTCCATCATGCGATACACCCTGCTTCACGGCATCTCCGCCCAACTTTCCTCCGCCGCGGAGCGTGTAAATGCCGGTGCAGCAAGTTCATGTGCCGTTTCCGCTTACATAGCCGTTGGAACTTCACATGGACACATTCTCAACTTCGATGTCACTCAGACTTTGAGGTGGGCCCATCAGGACAAACATGGACAAGGAGCAGTGGCCAGTTTGGCCTTCAATGCGGATTCAACACGTCTTTTGGCCGGTTACTCAAGGGGATTGGTCGCCATGCTGGACACTCAAACAGGAGATGTTCTTCGGGAGTTGTTCGATGTGATAACCCCGAACACTGGAGTACTGCATGTGAAGTGGACCTCTAGATCCTCTCTAGCTTTGTGCGCAGATGCCGGAGGATCCGTTTGGTCACTTAGTTTTACAAGGAAGCTGGGTATCCGAGGTTGCCAGTCTAGATGCCTCTTTTCCGGTGCTCGCGGGGAAGTCTGCGCCGTGGAACCATTGATTATGGATGCCCATGGTCGGCATGAGTTGGATCAATACTGTATTGTGGCTTTGGCCACTCTGTCCAAATATTTTATAGTGACCGTACGACCAAGATTGCGGGTCATAAAGTACCATGTCCTTCAGGGACCTCCGGATTGCTTGCCCCTGCTAGCCTGGCATTTAGTCCTGATTCAGGCGGCAGACACTTCGCGATCCGTGGATCCTGTGATTGTTGTCGGCCGCGGCAATCAGTTATTCTTTCACCAACTCTTTGTTTCGAATGGAAGGATTACGCTTCTGTATCTGCGACATGTTCAACTGCAAGGAAGTCTGCTCTCGGCTCACTGGTTGGGACCAAAATGCGTTGCCTCGCTGGACACAGCGGAAATCCTTCACCTGGTGGATGTAAGGTCCAGTAAAGAGCTCGAATGCATGGACATGGCCAACGCAGGATTGGTTTATGGCTCAGCGCAGTTTAAAGGACTAGCCACCGGTGGAAATGTGTCACCTGCCTTCGCTTTGGCGGGCTCAAATGCTTGTTACAACTCTGTGGTTTCGAGAGGAACGCAGCTCTACGTCCTAGGAGCCAGGTCACTGCATATAATTGGAGTAAGAACATGGTCCGAGAGGATTAGCTACTTGGTAAGGCGACAAATCTTAGTAACAATTAAAAATCTAATAAATATGCTTTCCAGGTAAAACACCATCGATGGCAGGAAGCCTGCCAATTAGCCTTAGATGGCTATCTCGCCTCCGTGGATCGTCCGCGAAAACGTGCCCAAGCCAAAGAGCGTATCATCATGCTCTTTAAAGAATATATAGCCAATTCCGCCCGGGCTCCCGACTATTGCCTCGGTGCCATTGTCAACTGCCTAATAACCGTGGGCGAACTCGATCTTCTCTGGTCGCAGCTGTGGGAGAAGTTGCACAACAGCAGTTTGGAGCTCTTTTTGCAGCACATTTCCGAGCACATCGAGCGGGAGACAATCCACAGTGTTAATCCCGTGATCTCCCAAGCTTTGGTGGATTACTGGCTGGAACATTCCCCTGCCAAACTGGAACAACTTATCCTCAAGCTGGATTGGATGTGCTTGGATCTCAATCAGGTGCTTAAAGCCGTTAAGAAGCATCGTTTGTACAGAGCCCAAATCTACCTCAACACCCAAGCCTTGAACGATTATACAGCCGCGCTGACGGAACTTCTGCCCTTGGTGACACCCGAGGAAACGGATTTGGGAAACTGCCTGCTAGTCTACGTATCTAGTTGTCTGGCTGGAAGGGGTTATCCCAGCGGAGAAATTCCCGTGGAGCTGGTGCATCAAGTTAAGCACGATGTCTTGCGCTGCTTGACCTCCCAGCATTCCAAGGAAAACGCCGGAGATGAGCTGCCGTATCCGTACCTCAGGGCTCTGCTTAAGTTCGATACGCGGGAAACGCTGAACGTTATATCGCTGGCGTTTCAGGAAAGAGAGTTCAGCAACGAGCTGGGTCTCTCCCATCGCAAGAGGATTATCAATCTGCTGCTGGAGATCATGACGCCCGAGAACGCAACGGTTAGTGTAATACTTTAGTTATTTGATTTTCCATAACATATTATTTATTATTTTCCAGTGGGCGGAGATTGGGTGCCTGCTGAACTTCATTGCCCAGCAGATTTCAATGCAGTGTTTGCCACGGGACAGGCAGCTCCTGGAACGAGTTCTAAGTCACCTTGCGCAGGAGGAGATCGCCCACGAAAGTAGTCGCCAGCATTCCGAGCGGGAGAACGCCTGGCACGAGCTGCTATCCTCCAACTGCCTAGCGGAGATCAGCACCGATGAGGAGCAACTGCGATTGGCGGAACGGGCGAGGTGCTACTGTGTGGTGGAGTATCTGCTGGAGAAACTGCAACGCTACGACACCATTCTAGATTGTTATATTCAAAACGAGGCGAGGCACGAAATCATGTTCGCCTACATGGAACGACATGTGGTGGACCCAAAACGATGCATTTACGGCCAGCTGAAGAGGCATCTCAGAGAGCTACTGAAGATCAACGCCAAGGAAACTACTCGCTTGTTGGCCCTGCACTATCCCGAAAAGATCCACGAACTTTTGGATACTCTAAGAAAGGACGAGGATTTGCTGTATGTGTTCCTCAAGTGCCTCAACGATCGTAAAAGCGAGCTGGAACCCAGCCAATTGGAGTTGCTGCTTGAGCTTCATTGTAAAATGGAGTCGGCTTCCGCTGTTGAGGAATTCCTTCGCTCCAATTCGGGCTATCGCTTGGAGCAGGCCATTGCCATTGCCAAAAGCCATCACCTAAACCGATCTGTGATTTATCTGTATGAGAAGCAGGAGAGCTATGCGAAAGCCTTCGAACTGTCCATGGAACTGCTGAAATCCGCCACTGGCGAAGAAGCGGCCACGGAGGCACAGACCATTTCGGCTCTTTTAGCTCGGTCTGTGCAGACTTTACCCGCTAAGGAACTGGAACGCTGTTGGTTTGCTCTATTGCAATATGTTCTGCCCCATCAGGAGCTGCAGTCCATCACCAAATCTCTGCTGCACGAGGCATCGCAGCACATCGACTTGCACAACTTGGTTCAACTGATCATGAACACCCACAATGTGTCAAGTAGCTACGGTGATATTAAGGACCTGCTGATGGGCATGCTGGAGAGTTCGAGGCATCAAACGGAGGCTTTGCGAACTGCTGCTGGGACTCTTTGCCAAGATCTTCACCTAAAGTTTGCGGAGCGATATCGACAGGCGCGTCGTGGCCTTTGGGTGACCACCACCAAGTGCTCCGTGTGCCGACAAAGGCTCTATGATCACAGCCAGGTGCTAATATTGGGTGGATGTGGTCACGGACTGCACGATGAGTGCATGGAGGAGGCAGAGAATCAGTTGGAAGAATGCCCACGGTGCTTTTCGAAAATTCCGGAGAAAACCATTGGCTTGTCGAGTCCAAGTAAAAATCTAATCAGCATTTCCTCCTCTTTGGAGATGGGTGCTTTGCAGTTGAAGGCACCTCCCAGGCGATTCTCGTAGTTCGCTTCGTGCTTTTTTGTATATTCCATTTATTCCTCAATGTATTTATTGTACAACTTTGTGTATTTTATGTGTAAGTAAAGCAATTGCATGATAAGGCTTCGGTTTTTTAAATATGGGAACTCGGAATATACTTTTTAATTGAGAATAGGTTTTAGTTTGTATAAAATTAACTTGTGGGATATTTTTTATATAGAAATATTTACAATTTAATACAAAAGTATAGTATATTCATACTTTTCAAGCACACTTTGAATTACAGTAATCACATTTTACTCATATTAATTATTTCATTCAACAAATTGGTGGTCTTGAAGGGTTGTCAGCAGGAAAAGTGTTGTTATAATGCTGTATAAACTCCGTGCATTGTTCAGCTGTTGAGATAGAGACAAATGTGTTGGAAAGAAGCTATTAAATTTAAATAAAATTTAATTCTCACCCTTTGGAAAAGACAAAGTCTCATAAAGCTTCAGGTTTCTCATTTGGAAGAATCTGAAAACGCTGTGAAAGATGAGATCATCTTTTGTCTTGTGAGCCGCCTCCAGGAATTTGCGAGCTGGCACTTTATCGAGACCCATGGAGTTCTTAGCCAGTCTTAAAGCATCGATAACTTTTCCCTGTCCCAACATGACTTCAATAATTATCTGGAAAACATTTTAGTTACAAATAAATCTCATATAGTGGATAATATAGTATTCACCTCATGTGCCTGAATTCTGCCCAACATATCGATAGCCACCTGGGAAATAGCCGTATCCACATCTGAATGGGCTAGCAAAAAGCAAGCCACTGACTTGGACTCCTGTAGCATTGAGTAGCTGACCAAACGTCTCAAGGTGTCAAAGCTCCGGTTGTTGATAAGCTCGCTTATAATCATTTTGCTCAACTCCTCCTGGGCAGCAATGTTATACTTATTTAAGGATTGGAGATAAAGCATTAAAATAGCTTCCGTATAAGGACGACGGGCAATGCGCTGGAAAATTTGCACCATATCCAACTGCTCTATAAGCACAATGGGTGGTGTACTTTGTTTCAGAGTGGAAGTCTTTACATTCGAGGGCTGAGCGGTTTGATTTTGCAGCTCCAACTGCACCCAGGAACTAAGAAAATATATTGACATTAATTTTAAAAATAGAGAGTTGAATAAAGTAAAGTAAAGCTTCTTACGCATATACTTTGTTGATCCGGCTGAATATTGTCTCCAAAACTGGCAGCAGTGTTCCTTTGTATTGATCATCAACTAGCTGTCCCACGACTTTTAATAGCACCTGTTTGCCACTGCTGCGCTGCAGCAGAAACTCTGTGAGCCGAATGCGATCACATATTAGTTGGCACAAGGGTTCGATGCAAAGGTTTAAAAACCACATGCAACCCAACTTGGCATCAATAACAATGTTTGGCTGGAACAGCACCCAGTGAGTGGAATCTGTAAGGTTTTAATGATTAGATAAAACATATTGTTGAATACTTATAGTACCTACACAACTCGCACTGCAAGATTTGTCCATCGGGCGACAGAGACGGCAGCTTTAAGCCGAAAGGTTTGATCGATCGACCTGGTGTTATGGGAGTATGATAGGTTATTTCATCGATCACCTCCCCGGGAAGGGAAATATCGAAGAGCAGCGAAGTTCCAGAGGCCTGATGGTGCACAACAATCAGATTGTCTACTGTGTTGATGGCAAAGCGTCCCACCAGGCTCAAGCGAAGGACGTGGCACTTGCGTGGAGCCAAACCGGGTCCATTTAGTAAGTGCACCTCTACTTCCATCAGTCCAGAGCTGCTATTCGACTGCAAAATAAGAACCGCCAAGACACCGTACACTTGACCCAGAGTTACCTTGCTCTCCTGGACATCGCGACTTGGACTGCCTACTAAAATGAAAACATAATTTGATTAATACAGATTGCATCTAGAAAATGTTTATGTAAAATACTTACAGTCCACTTTGGGCAGCTTTGTGATCACCTTCTGTTTGACCAGGACTGGAATCAGGGAGTTTCCCTCGCTGGTGCAGAGCAGAGCCACATTGGCATCGCAGCACCAGGCGAACCATTTAATACCGATGCTTAGGGATTTTACAGACCGCACTTGTCGCTTTTCCGGCACCACAGTATAAACCTCCACGCTCGTATTGGAAATCAAGGCCACTTCCCTGTTGTGGACCCACACGAAGCCATGGATAATGGTCTTCACCTGGTGGGTTATGATCTCCTGTAGCAGGGGTTGATCCCCCTGGAAACATATAAACTCCACAGCATTTTCCTTTCGCTGAACAGCAAGGATTTGATTATCCGGTGAGAATTTAATGGAACGAATAGCACCACCACGGTCGCTCATGCAAAAGGAGATGACTGTGTCCTCGGTGGAGCCGGGTCCTTTGACCACCACCCCTGTAGCTCCTCCAGATCGAACAGCAAATATCTGAAAAATAGATTTAAGATTAATGCATCTCTTTATTTGTTGATTGCTTTTACTTTACCTGCTTGTTAGAGTCATCGAAAAATACATTTGTTAGCTGGCTCACAGCATCGAAGCGTATGGGATTTGGTGATAGCTCAATATAGTGTATTCCATTCGAATTATCCATTGTTTTGCTTTAAAGATAATTAATAACAAACTGCAGCTAAGCATACACCCCCTATTAGAGATGGAAAATAAAAACGGTGCTGAGTATGGGTCACGAATGAGTCACGCAATTGAATTAATTACTGCATAGATATCGTATGAATACAATTTGTATTGTATAATCTTAACTTAATAAAAATATAAGGTAGGTACATTTACCTTTTATTTTATAGTTTGCCAACTTGGTGTTAAATATCGATTGAAAGCAATTTTCGGAAAAAAAGGTTTTTTTTGAAATTCCTTGTTATTTTGCGCATTGCTAGCACAGGTATGTTCTCCACCCCTATCAGCTGTTAGTGTTGAAAAATTCCAAGTATACACAAAAACAAGAAAAGGAAGAAGAAGCACTTCGGTGCAGATTTCGGTTACTTGCAAAATGAAGTTTACTTCATAAAATTTTTTAAAATGGCTCACCTGAACAGGTGCCGGGTGTGCTCCTGCGTTGTAACGGGCGATGAGGAGGCCTATAACTTGTTACAACTTCCAGATCTGGCTGTCAAGTTTTCGGAGTGTACCGATTTGGTCGTTGATCCTGAGGAGTTGCACCTTTTGCCCAGCAAAATCTGTTCAGCGTGTTACGAATTACTGGAAAAGTACCACTCCTTCCGGGAATTATGCATTTTCGCCGATCACAAATGGCGCACAAAAAGTCAGGTGCACAACAAGAAAATAGATAAAAGAAGGCACATCTTTGAAGTGGATGAAACCGAGGAGGAGGAGGATGAGGATGAGGATGAGCAGGATGAAGATGAAGATGAGGATGAACAGGAGATCATATCTGCATTAAAGACACCCGAGCTAGTCATTTGCGATTCGAATGTAATTCCCGAAAATATTCCGCCAAATTTGGTAAGCACAACTATCGTCAACAAAGAAACGCTACCAGAACCGGAACCGGAAACTGCAGCTCAAGAAGTATGTGTGAAGTATTTGAGTACAGTATGATTAAAACTTTACACAATAAGAATGTGTTTTCAAATCTTTTTCTATCATATTTCCTTTTTCCCATTTTAGGAATATTTACCCCCGAAGTTTAGGTGTGACATCTGCGCAGATGAATTTGGAGAGGAACAACGCCTGATTCTCCATAAGAAAGAGCACGAGGGCCACATGCTGTACCACTGTTCTGAGCCAGGATGCGAGCAGGCATTCAACCGTTACGAATACCTCAGGCAGCACGAATTGGAGCATTCGATAGTGGGCACTCGGTTCATCTGCGAAGTGGAGGGATGCAACAGGATTTACCGGCACAAGGCTTCTTTAAAACATCATCAAAGCAAGGTTCACGCAATTGGCAAGCCCCTGAAAACTCACGTTTGTGAGTTCTGCGGCCGGATTTTTAAAAATCTATCCGCCTTGAGTCAACATCGGTACACTCACGACGACCAAATCCAATTGCCATACGCTTGCGAAATGCCGGACTGCACTTGGCGATTCTTTAGCAAGGAGAAGCTTAAAATCCATATGATGCGCCACCAGGGAATCAAGAACTATAGTTGCCCTTATTGCGGACTCAAGAAGACCACAAAGAACGAACTTCGGCTTCATATCAACTACCATACGCTGGAGAGAACCTGGTCCTGCAAGGATTGCCCCAAGGTCTGCAACAGTTCGACGAGTCTCAAGAAGCATGTTCGAACGATTCACGAAAAGGCAAGGGACTATGCTTGCAGCTATTGTGAAAAGAAGTTTGCCACCTCGGATACCCGGAAGTACCACGAGATGACTCACACTGGCGAGAAGAACTTCGAGTGTCATGTGTGCGGTAAGAGGTTCATTCAGCCCTCCGCCTTGCGCACTCATCGAAAAGTTCACGAAATAGAGGAGGAAAGTCACCAAAAAACATATGCTATATTGCAAGTCACTAGTATGGGTTAAAGGACAATATGGACAATATTATGGGTTAAAGGACAATATGGATAACCAAACCAAAGCACATAATCTGGGACAATAACGAGGGTTTATCTTATCATGGACAATAATAATGGTCTTCTATATTTAAGAAAAGAACATATGCTATTTTACAAGTCACAAATATGGGTTAAAGGACAATATGGATAACCAAACCAAAGCAGTTAATCTGGGACAATAATGAGGGTTTATCTAATCATGGACAATAACAAGAGTCTACTATATTTAAGAAAAAAACATATGCTATTTTACAAGTCACAAATATGGGTTAAAGGACAATATGGATAACCAAACCAAAGCACTTAATCTGGGACAATAATGAGGGTTTTTTAATCATGGACAATAATAAGAGTCTACTATATTTAATCACGGACAATAACTGGTATTAAGAGATATTTACATTACGAAATCGAATTCTTCCAATAAATAACCGCAACTTAACCACGGACAATATTTAGCGTTAAGAGATATTATATTATACGTATGATATTATACTTACTGTACGAAATCGAATTCTTCCAATAAATAACCACTTCCTTTTGGGATTCAGAATGTAAATAGCTATAAATTGTTTAATTATATTTTTAACTAAAACAAAATGTACAGGAATTGTGTGTGTGTGCTTGCTGCGTGTTGTTAAATTAATCAGCCGAGGATTCGCATCCTGCCGAGAGCCACTATGAACTAAAGTACATCTGCTAAGGGTCGTGAGTCTGTCTATTGTATATGGTTTAGTATATAGATAGCTATGCATACATATGTATAATGGTGTGGTAAATGATATGACGTGCCACGATCACTTCCCCCGGTAAATATGGTGAAATCTGTTGCGTTAAAATCGTTGTAAATATGATTCCTTCTATTACTGTAATAGATTTATGTATATTTATATATTGGTGAGCTAATTGCGTTTTCGGCATCTGTAAATATGAGTGTATAAATATGTTGTATTCGTAAGTACCTATATATCGTTTCTATATTTGCGTGTACTGATCCTGGGGGGAAATATGATTTCTTCTTGTCCTTTCTCATCTTAACTTAGCCTATGAAAAATGCGTTTGTGTCGTTTTTACATTTTTAGAAAATGTTTAAAGTACGTAGAACATAAGAATATAGCATATTTATAGGCTAAATATCACCCACGATTAAATCGTTGCTTAGAGACTATATAAAAACTAGACATATAATACATTCTCGCCTTGTAAGTGTGTATAAATATATATCGGTAACGTGTACAGATTACAATTCAGACATAAACCATAAGCACTAAGTGGTATACAAGAGTTAAATATACTCTAAACGTAGCCTTATAACTAATTGGGTGTATATAACGTATGCCTATATCCTATTAACATGTTAAGCTCGCTGAACATTTCACATAATTTGTTTTTAAACTCCTTGTTTCTTAATTTTTTTAGACATAGTCCGAGGGCACAGTGCTGGTGCTCGTTTCATTGATGGCCGCCAGTCGAGGACCTCGCCGTTGCGTCATCGCCGCCGCCTCGCCGGGCGTTATTCCATTACCCCCACCTCCTCCTCCGAGGATGGCGGCCGCTGCTCCGGCAGCTCCACTGCCGCCTCCACCTCCTCCGTGGTGATCCCAGTTGGGCAGCGGCTGGGACATCACGTTCAGTCCGACAATCTCGTAGGCGCCCTGATTACTGCCACTCGCTCCGCCGGGCATCGCGGTCACCGAGAGGTCCGAATAGTAGGCACTGCTCGGCGCCGAGGAGACCATGGGAATGTCCTGCTCGTGGCCCTGGTAGTTATATTTCTGCAACAGAGAGAAGAGTTAGATTCCAGGGTAAATTATGGGCTTATGGTTTTTATTTAAAGTACTGAGCAATAAACAATTGACTTTGACAGAATCATTTAGAAGTATACCAATTCAAAATCGGACACTCTTATAAAAAGTTATGAACTTTCAAGTGCTGGTTTAAGTTTACACTTGGGAATTATAAATAATTTCGAATACTCACCTCGCCACACTGACTGTACGCCGTATTCTGATACGAGGGATTGGCGGATCGCACGGACTCGCGATCCAGTTCCGCGTAGAGGGCCTCGCTCACGCCCACCGGACTGTAGGCGTCGTCCATGTGGGTGTAGTGGTTCTCCGCCGGCGACGTGGACGGTGGACCGATCTGGTCGGGGCCGGCGGACGAGCGGCGACTGCCTCCCAGCCAGGTCCAGACGCCGGAGTTGCTCGTGGGCCGCCGGATGCTGTCCGCCGAGTGCTTGATCGAGATGGGCGATCGGTTTTGGCCACCGTTTCGGTTATTGCGACACCACCACGGCTGCGGGCGACCACCTGCAAGGGGAGATCATAAACAGGGGGGTGAGCCACGAGTTCGCTATCTTTTGTTTGCTTAATTAAAATCATGTTACTCATACGACACGTTGTCCGCTGTTTGGAGATAATTGCAAAAGCTGAATATTCAACAGGAATTACGTTTGCCATTTGTGTGACTTATCTTTGGCACTTGCTTCATTAAAAAATATCGCAAAATCTTTTTGCAGGAATTGTGTATATCGAAAATAAATAGATTCGTTGAAAAAAATCAGTAAAAATAATTTTTATACATATATATCAAAGTCTTTTATTGGTTGCTTTAAAACACCTGTTGAAAGTAGGGACACCGTTGAGTAGATAAATGTTTGTGAATTTTTTTTGAGGGCGGTGAGTCCACGGAATCCGAATCGAATCCAACGCAGCAGAAATCTATGACATTTCGCTTTATAATCGGGCGATAAATCAAACATTCACCTCAGGACGCGAACAAAAGACAGAAACAAACAAACAAACAAAGCGTAAATTAAACGGCTGTCAACTGGCAGCGAGGTGGCAAACAAACTGCACCACTGCACCGCTGCACCACCGAGTGGCTTGTGGTCTTTGGTTTGCCACCAAGTGGCCGAAAATGCCAAATGTTTCTCCTTTCCGATATCAGCACATGTGATCTCATATTGCCCAAGTGGGTATGGGAAGGTTAATGGGAGTTCGGTGTGTGTGAGTGACTCAACCAACGGAAAAGCACTCAAAATCTCAAATAGCGCCGGTATTCCATAAAACCTCTCCCGTCATTAAGCTCATAATTTATAGACAACTAACGCCGAACTCTCATTGAGAAGCGCAGTACGCAAACAAGTATAATTGCTGGTCGTAAACGAAGTAGACCTGTTCTCAACATCCGAACATCCGCCACGGTCTCGAATTTCCAACTCATCCCCAGCTAATTTGCCTAGAGCTGTTCGCAAAAATGTGCATATATATATTTTTTATATATATTTTAACTCGCCTTTCACTCTCATTAACTCGGCAAAGATGGAGCCACTTGGGGCGATTCAGCTAATTAGCGTTGTGCATACGCAACTGCAGCGACAGTGGGACCGAAGGTTTCCCAAGTTATGCACATGCATAATGCAGTTCCCCATGCACTGAGAAAATATACCAGATACTGTAAGCATGACAAGCTTGTCAGAATATTACTTTTTTCTATGATATATAATATTACTATTGGTATTTAAATGAGTAATTAAATATATTTTCTTATTTCATGAGATAAATTGGATCATTATTTAAAAATTTTTTTGATATACTGCTAAGCTTTTTAGAATTAAAATTTTATATCAGCAGAGCTAACAATTTTTCCCTGTGCATTTTGCTTTGTGAAGTTGCAGTCGAAGTCTGTTTTATGCTTATGATTTACGTACTCCGACTAAGCGAATGTCCAGCAGCAATGGCTTTGACTGCGGCGATTATTACCCCCAAACCGAAGTTATCGTACGTAGGTGCTCATATACATGCATTTTGTGCATGTCACCAATGCCACAAACACAAGTCCCAGACTCCGAGACCCACTCCAAGACTCCAAGAGTCCATGGCTTCAAGACCGAGCTCCAACTGGAACTTGGCTTTAATGGCTGTTTTTGCGCCGTGTTAACGATGTTGCCGCGGCTACTGCACAGCTAACTCAGCTGAATCGAGCCGCGGCAAGTTGAACTGAGCTGAAACCACAATGCACTTACGATTTTTTTGGGGGGGCTCTCATTGCCACAAAACATGCTAAGCCCACTTAAAAATGTACTAATTGTGGCTATAAATTTAAGAAAAACATTTTAAGCTCTTCAAATTATGTTTGAACTTTGAAATGAAATAGTATGATAAAGTCTTTCATATTTTCTTAGGGTTTTCATTTATGTTTTTCCTCTGTAGTCCTCACTGTATTTTAGTGCCTTATAACAGCCACTGCAGAACTCTTATCTTTGCCTGCTTATCGCAGTTACCAGAACGGCAGCAGCCGAAACTGCAAACGGCAAATTGTTGTTAACAAAATATTTCGCAGTCAACTTTTGTTCAAATGAAAAGCGTACAAAATCAAAAAATAAATAAACGAAAAATAACGAGCTTTTCGGTTTCGGAATTTAATTTGTGGTATGTGGATTTTTATTTTATCCTCAACTTTTGCTTTTTTGTAGCTGGGCAAATGGCAAATATGACATGTGTAATGAAGTCTTAATAGTCGGCCAGATAATGCCAATCGCAGTACGATTTCTTGCCCGTTCAATGCACACAAATGTCAAAGCATTTTTCACTTATTTATATATATATTTTTTGTCTGTTGCTTGATTATCGTGAGTTTTTTGTATGCATAATTAAAATCATGTTACGCATACGACACGTTGGCTGCTGTTCAAAGATAATTGCAAAGAATTCCTATGAAATTGACACCTACGAATGGTGCAATTCCTATTTGTTGGGATTGTTTGCGATGATTGCTAAAATATGTAAATTAGGAAATCCGTAGACGTTACGTTTAACGTTTTTAACAACAACAAATAGCTTTTAGTTATATTTTAAGTGCCGAAGCGTTATTAGTACCTCTAATGAACACTTCAGTTTTTAATTTAACAAAATATTACAACGCCACACCTTACGGTTCCATATAAAAATAAATGAAATGCTTAAAAACTTAAAAACCCCAATTCGTACAATTTACAGGCAACATTTGAATTGAAAAACTTTTTCACCTTTGCGAGAAATGTTGCAACAAATAAACACCACTTAAATGTGCATTTTTGGGCAATTGAAAATTTTCTCTTTCGGCACAAAAAGACTCGGAAAAAATCCGCAAAAAAACTGTTTGGCAACTGGCGCTTGTCTCTCAACTCTCAACTCAGTCCGACTTTGACTTGGACATAATCACGCGCTTTAAAAGCTGCTGACAGTTTAACGATTTGTGGCGATTGTTTGTTTCTCTGGTTGTTTCTTTTTTTCTCTTTTTGCTCAACATGCAACCGTGCGTACCACCAACGAAAACTGCCGAAAAAAAACAACACAAACAACAAGTGAGCAACAAAAAGTTTTTGGCAAAAAAAAAAAAAACGGAAACCAACAAGAAACGAGCATTTTCATGGGGACAGCTAATTGGCTGCTGTGACATTAAATGCCGTCAACAATTTGTCCTGCATGTCGATTGTCAGGCCCACAAGACGGACAGTGAAATTGGCGCCAAGCCTTCGAGAGAGAGAGTGGGCTGAAGAAAGGGAAAGACTCCGACTCGAAAAGGGATCGATTGTCAATAATTCGCCTACTGCTGAAAGTCGGGCCAGAATCACAGAGTCGAGAGCAACTAAATCAAAATAGCAAACAAAAAAAAAAGTATTTTTTCCTCTCCCCATTTTGCACGATTTTTAAACGTGTTTGACGAAGTCTGCGGCCATGACAATTGTTTTGCCTTTGCCTTAATTTGTCTACAAATTTTCTTTTACTCGAAAGTTTTAGCCAGCACGTAGCCCGGGGCAATATAATCCCCTCGGCTCTCAGCTCTCGGTTTCGGTTTCAACTGCCGCAGGAGGAGCAGCAGCATCTCTGATTTGTGGCACGAACGTGAAGTTCATGCATTGTCGTCAAAAATTTGTCTTCATTTTGTTAGTTGCCTTCCTTCTGCCGCAGTCGCAGAAAACAAATTAAAATGTTGCCACACAACAAAAAATAAAAGGGGAATCGGTGAGTCCAGAACGAAACGAAAGATTTCTTTGAATTGCATGCAACGGCAGAATTATGCAATTAAAAATGGAAATGAAAATGCAAAAAGAAGGCAAGACCCTCGATGATGAGCAGAGGTAACAAAAAACCTGACCTGACTTGGCTTGGCTAATTAATCAAGACTGGCAAAAAACGCCAAAGTGATCAGGTTTCTTTGAGGAAGTGAGATTGAAGGCATAACATCAATGGATGTGGAGAGCAAATGGGAAAGGAAATGATTAAATTAAAAAGTTCTAACTGAGCTTATGGAAGAAAACTAAGCACAGGAACTAAAATTACTTAGCTTAATACTATACAACATTTATTGGTAAATTATATACCGACATAAGCTGTTTTTATTGATAGAAACTTAATATCCTATTCTACTAATCGACTACTTTAAATAATGAGTATTTAACTTAGAAGATAATTGACCATAAAAGCAAACATTATTCATATAAACTGCTAATACACATTTAATCGCCCCCAACAAATCATTTCCCTCATTTAAATATTGACTCGAAGCAGGGAAAACATTTGTTCACTTACCATTGGCATTCGCTGATTTAATTCTGAAAAGATAAGAAAAGAAAAAATGTGTACCAATTAATAAACAGAATTTTAATAGACTGTCGGGCATAAATTTGTATAAAGTAAATGTCAAACTTGTCGAGCGACAAAATGGCAAATGCCAAAACGAATGACTTAGGACACAAACTTGGGCAAACGAATGACTCAAGACACAAACTTGAGCCACGCAAGTGCTTTAAAAGCTAGTTGCGTGTGACGCGAACTGACACACCGATAAAGCTAATATAAAGTATCTGTTCGGGCCGATAAAAAAAACCACCGGCAACAACGGAATCGCATTATCCAGCAGCCAGGGAACATATTCGCCATTTGTTGCGATTAGATTAAAACTAAAAAATTACAGTGAGGAAGATTTTGCCTCGAAAACTGAATTTGGACCTGAGTGATTTGTGTCTGAATCTAAGAATCGGCAGGTGCTAGCCATAGCTTTCTATGTCTTTTTTCTGGAGCACATTTTCCAATCCGTTTCATTTTCCCTCGCCAAACTACATATTTGCACTTGCTGACTCCGCTTTTCTGGGTCACATCGAACGGCACGAACCTGGGGCCTAAATGGCCATATACCTCTCGATATACTCGTACTCGTATATATTCGATCTGTGCGTATCAATTAACCGTCTGTCCGAATTGATTGAGTGCAGTGCGGCATGAGCTGCATTTTCCCCTCGCTTTGCCTTGATCGATTATAATGTTAACTCAACTCCAGCCCCAACTGCCAATTCGTTTTTCTCTTTCTTTTTTTTTTTTAGTGTTAGTGTTAGTTTCAGTTGCAGTTTTTGTTCTCCTCAATTCAATTAAATTGAACAAGCAGTCTCGGGGGCCTTGGCTATGCGCTAATTTTCCTAGCTCGGGTTTTTCAGCTTATTTTCCTACGATTTTCCATCGTCGCGTTATGTTCAATTTTCTGCGCTTGTAGTTTCGATTTTTTTTATAATCTTTTTTCGTAGTTGATCGAGTTTTTTGCATGCTAATTGAACACGCCTTTTTGTGTCTTAAATGCATTAAGCGGTTTAAACTTGACTTTTGTTTTTGCAGCTAAGAGACCAACTTAAAATAATTTTAAAGGAGCGGGCCTTGGTTTTGTTTTTTTAAATGGATTCGATATAGAAAGGTGGAGTATTTATAGTAGAGATTAAATTAAAAGGGTCAGCGCTATTAAAAAGGTTATTACCCACAATTACCTTAATTTAGTCAATTTGTGAAGAATATCTTTAAAAGGATATTGTTGTGTATACATATCATTAGTTTAAGTGTAACTGTGTAATCAATCAATTTAGTTTATTATTATGAAAGTATTATTACAATACAATTAAAGATCATAAAATTTGGTAATTCAAAAAGTAATACAAATAAAATGAAACATGGACTTATATAGGCTAAGACTTTGATCATAACCGTCCAAAATCCATCCATTAAAATTTATGTAAAATGAATGTTGTGTAAGCCCAGCTCTCCTAATTAAAATCCACTCCAGTTTTACCAATCCTTTAAATTATCCAAGTGTCAAAAACAAGACTCAATTGCAGTGGGACTTTGAAATTTTCCGACAAGCCCCTGTGACTATTGGAAAGACATTACCTCGTCTAGACGTTGAGCAAACATTGTCAAAAAAAGCACACGAAATCCGAATGGCAGGTGCCACTTAAGACTTAAGCTCAATAAGGTGGCCGAGCCAAACAAATCAAGTCGAGCCAAGAGAAATACAGAAACAAATGCAAAGCATGGTGACTTGGTGGGGACATGTGCCAAGCAAATTTATAGCACCATTACGACCAGATCGAGAATTGCATCAATATGCAAATAAGTGTAACCGATATTACATGTAATTGCTGCTAATTTGGCAGCCAACACGTCCGACCACGACGTGACATGCTCCACACACCGACGGACTGGAAAACTGAGAAACTGAAAACGGTTGCGAAAACAAGTCCCAAAATGAGTGACTAAGGCTGACGGCAAGGCAAACACCGTGACATTCGGGCCGACAAGGGGTACAGGTGAGGGGGGGGTCCACAGGTGATTAATGCAAAATCAAATTTGGTCTAAAAAGCGTGAGAATAGCAGTCTAACTGCAAGTTGATTGAGTCAACAAGCTAGAGGAAAGCTGAGATTGGTAGCAGCAAAAGGGATTGATAGTTATGGCATTCATTAAACTATTCTGAAAGGTATAACTTAAATATGCTGCATTAAATTTAAATGTTATAATAACTATAATTATATTACACTTTCGCTTATGTTATGTTTCAATCATATAATTTAAAAGTTTCTCTTCCCTTCTCATGGCGTATCCATTTAGTCATCAATCCAAACAACTCCATTCGAACTCCTGTTTGGACTTGCTTTGCGCATTTGTTTGTTTTGTCTTGGGCGGATAATTTGCAAAATTAATTTTATGCAAACATGCCGCCAAATAAGACGACATGACAATTTAATTGGACGCGACATGTGGCCAGCGTTTCCACTTCAAACTGGAAGCCCACGGCAGCAGTTGAATAACAAGCGCGGCGCCTGCGCAACCGCCAATTCGAATTGGACAAAGATTTCTGTTAATTTGGCACTCGCGTGTGTTGTTCTGTACCGCTCCCCCTCCCCCTCCCTCCCTACCTCTAGAAAAAAAAGAAACCTTTCGATCGAATGGCCATTTAAATGTACTCAAAATCGCAAATATCTGGCGATCGGAGTGTGTGACCCACTCTCCACGGCCTTTTGATAGACTCCAAAAACTACGATTTTGGCCATATAGGAACGCCTGCGGCCAAAGCTCTGTGTTTCGGCTTGTATTTCGCTTAAAGAGCAATTAAGTAATAAAGCAATTTCATGTTCCTTTGTTTTCGGCATCGATTATTCTCAGCCGTTGTTGCCTTTGCGCCGCCGTTGACTCACTTAAGAGGTTTTATTTACTTTTTGGTGGGCGTTTAATTGAATTGCTGGTGTTGCCGCTTCGTGCCGCCCGTGTGGGCAATGCATTGTAAATCTTTATAGTTACACAGATCCCACAGCACAGATATTCGCGCAAATATGAGAGTTGGCCCAAGTCGCCTGCTCGTACGAGTGTCTATATTCAATTTGTCTGGCGTTGTAAATGTCGCCGTCGCCTGAACATGACGGATCGCTGGGGTCGTCAACGGGTTAAGAGTTGAGTTGAACGTCCTCTTCTCGCGTCTTCCCAACTCTCATGTGTGTAATTTGCCGTTTTTATCATGAATAATTGTGGTATTTTTCTAGCTAAATGCCAAAATGTGACTGTTTATTTATTATTTGCGTTTTTATTTATTCGCCGCTTGTTTTGGCCAATTAACTTTGAACGGTCAATTTATGAGGTCCGTTGGGGAAGAGTCAAATTTATTTATTGTCCGCAATTGAACATGTTTGAGAAAAGCCAAAAATGTTTTATGGAAATTGCCTTCTATGACTAGCGGTTCCATAAATAATAAAAGCCGTTCAAGCTTACGATTATCTGTAATATTTTATATAAAGCTAATTTCCGTATTCAGGCAATTGGTGAGGTACAAAAATTTTGAAATTTATATTTCAAATTTTGTATTATATAAAAATATATGTATTATAATATATACTAAATAATCTAAAAGTGGCGACTTACCTTCTACATCTTAGAACTATGACCATTACAATAGCACCTATGAGAGCCGATATGATTGAAACTATGATTAGGGTGAATGCCCATCCAAGTTCGCCGGCGGTTTCTGCAAAGAGGAAGCCGGAAAAAAAGTAGTTAGTAAAAATAAGCGTAGATATATCTAAAGCATGTGTGTGTAATGAGCATAATAAATTTGGATGATCGGCCTGGCCGACATTGTATAAACTACGTTTATGATTATGCAATTTTTATGGAGCGATGGCGATAAAGATGATGAATTCATAAAAAGTTATGAATATGAATGCGTAGTGGCGTATGAAATATGTACATATATATAACGCTAAATTATGTATATAAATTAGGGAACAGTGGTGGCACGCATTACGATTATAATTAAATTTTAACTTAAATTTTTTTTGCAATTTATTAATATTTTTTTATACATTTATGCTTATCTTCGAAAACCCTGTGTAAAACTAATTTTTCCCCAACTTATTTAAAGATGTTTGGTTCTATAAAATGACGGAACTCTTTAATTCGTGAGTGAAGTCAATTAGGCTTGCGGTAGGATATTAAATTCGCCCTCGAAAATACCTGAACTTGAATTAAACTGGAGAGCGGTATAACTTTTCTTAAATGCTCACTTACATATGTGCGGCGCATTTAACGATGCAAAATTAATTACAAACTTTATTATCTTAACAACTTGAGCCTGACGTCGCCGTTAACGTCGCTGCCCCCGCTGGTGATTTAGAATATTTATGGCCGCAGTTAAATGAGGCGCGCAATGGGAGTGAAGTGGCGGCAAAAGTTGGGGGCACTTCCTTCTCATCCACATCCACATCAGCACCATCCACCGTATTCGTATCTCTTTCTGACCGCCCAACATATGCGGCTGCGTTTTTGACCCTTTTTCGCCTAGTCCGTTATCTCTAAGTGGGCATCGGTCGGCCATATAAAGGGGAAAAAGGTTAAATTCAGCAAACAGAAATCAACACGCATATAAATATTTCAGCCCGCCTTTAGCCTTTCTACGCTATGTTTTATATCCTTTTGATAAAAGCCGAAGCGAAATTGAAGATGAAACAAACAGATTGCCAAAAGAGGGGGAAGGTCGAAATATTTATACTCTACATTGGTATTCAAAAGAACAAAAATAATAGAAGCAAAGTATTATATTAATTTAATTATTTTAATTAATAATTAATAAAAAGTATCAGGATTAAATTTTAGATCATTTCTACATTTTTTTAAATATTTTTTAAATTTATAATACTAATTTCTTAATTTATTGTTTGATTTTGTATCATATTTCACCTGTAACTTCGTGAACTTTTACCTAGGGAGCAAACAAACAAAAACAGTAGGGTGGCCAGCAAAATGAACCTAATTTAGCCGCTACTAACTGATGAATGGACTATCAACATTTGCCTGGTACTCGTGGGTCACGCCTCCTCCTTTTGCCTTTGACCTCATTTTCGCGCTTATAAATTTTCTTGCTCAACGACCCTTTCGCCCCGTCGTTTGTTATCTCATTGCCAGTTGCTTAAATATTTATACTATGCCCGGTGCTATAATGAAAGCAAACGCCATTATGTTTTTTCTGTGCTCCACTCCCCGCGGCATCTTTCGGTGAATCCCCCCTCTTATTGTCTTCGCTTCGGCATAATTCAATTGGCCAAAAAAAGAGGCAGCCCTGAACTGAGTACCTCGAAAACTGGTAACTGCGTAACGTCTTTGAAAACTGGGTAATTAATAACAAACAGAATGGGAGCGAGTGAAAAGCAATTTTCGCTTGAATTGAGGATGTGGGCGTGGCCAGCAGGAAACGCGTTAATAAGCGGCGCCTCAGAAAGTGTTAAACAAAAAAATGAAAAAAAAAAACAAAGACTGGGAAAATTAGATGGGAATAACGAGCTCCAGTTGTTAATTGAACTAACGAGTTGAGAGAAAAGAAATAAAGCATTTTACTGACTTATGGTTGAGCATCGCCACATGACTTCTATGCGTGAGTCAATCTCCAGGGAAAATAAATGACTTTGCAGATTTGCATTAAAATTAACAGCTGGAAAATGTTAAGCCAAAGGCGGGTTTCCTTTAATTAAAGTATAGTTTAATACCTTTGGCATGGTTTTCTAAAATTTATGACTAAGAACCAGAAATGGAATTTTGAGACAAAAAAGAGTTACAGCAAATCAATTAAAATTTAAAGGTGTGCTATTTTAAAATCGGAATAAAATTGGAAGAGTTTGCGGTTCAGGAAGAGCTGTCTTGGTTGCTTGCACCATCTGCATTCCAGCTCGCGGCATTTCCCCCAGCTTTTGGAACAAGGACTTTTGGCCTGTCGGATGCTGTCAGGGGCCGATCCGAACGTAATCCCACAAAAGACTCGTAAATAGCTAAAACATCAAGCTCCGTCCGAGGACAAGATGGGGACCCTTTTATCCGGCCAGTCGAGCTCGTATTTATGCCACTCGCTGGCAGTCAACAGGTGTGCGCAGCTCACCGCTCTACGCAATCGGTCTGATTTCAGGTATTTGCTCTCAGGTATTTATTAGCAGACCCTCTCCCTGACTGATCTATTTCGATGGTCTTTCGAACCTAATTGGCAACTCATTAAAATAATTTCGTGCCGGACAATGGACAGTGGAGTCTGTAATGCCTCAGTTTTGTTTTCTGTTTTTCCTTTTTTTTTTTTTGTATTTTTGGCATAGAACATGGCCAGTGGTTTTAGCTTTTCTTGGAACTTTTAGGACTTGACACGAGCAAATGTTGCTGCAGCTGTGCCGAAGTTTTCCGCGAAACTGTGCATGCAACAGCAGCAGCAGCAGGAGGTTGCCGCAGATACATCCATCAGATACAAATGAGGGCCCGCAGATGCAACCGCCGCCAACTCACAACTGGCAACTCGCGTCTGTTTGTCTGTCTGTCGGCAATTGTAATAATCGATCTGCATGCCGAGATGATTGATGATGCGTTTCGGCCAAATGCTCTCAAGATTTATGGTTCCACCATCGCCAAGTTATCTCAGTGAGTTAACAGGCTTGTATCTCAAATGCCGAAAGCCAGCGACATAATTTCGATTCCCCGACGTTTATTGCACATTATCGCATAATGCATGTATACCATATGCAAATTTCGACACCGCTTAGCCCACCTGCCAAAGTGGGAGAGCCGGCAAAGTCCAGCTACTGCTGTAAATCATTAAAATCGGCAGCCCACGGCAATGCAGCTGAGCATTTGGGCACCGAAAACTGTCGCAGTTTCATTTTTCCCCCGTTTATTTTTTTTTTGGATTTAATTGCATGGCCAAAAATGCCGAAAATGAACAGGCGGGCTTACAGACAACAAGTTTCCCCGGCATTATCTAACAACGTATCAGGGGGCGGCAGGGGGCGTGGCCGAGGGGCCTGGAAATTCGTGCAGAAATAAAAGGCATCGGCTGGCCAAACTACGACTCAATTAACAGTCCACACAATTAAATTAAATGGTCGCATTTGTTTTCAAATTGAGCAATTAAGAAATGATTTAGCGACTTTTTTGGCATTGGAATTTTCGAGCGACGACGGTGGGCGATACGTCGAGTTAAATTAAATTCGAGATGATTAATTAGGCGATAATTAAAACGGTAAGAGAAATTTGCTCAGTAAATCAAATATAACAAACAAAAAATGAAAGTTTATTTATCTGAAATCATTCCTCTTAAACCGTTTCTTAATAAATAACTTAAGATGAGGAAACATAAGTGATATGGATATTAAAAACCCTCCAAGATTTAATTAAAACCCTTAAATTAAAGCCATATCTTTTTAAGGAAATAACAGATGTGTGTCAAAAGTCAAACACACCTCGAATAAGCACATATATCTGTCACTGCATATGCGCAGATATTTCTTTTGCCAACTTTCTTACAAATTGTCAAGAAGAACATATGGCTGAATAAACTCGATTCCCGAAAAGAAAGAAAGCACGAAAAAAAGCGTACAAAAATTAAATGACAAATTAAATAATGTCAGCAACGCGGCGGTTGCCCAAAGGTTAAAGCCATAAAAAAGAGGGCCAGGTTGCGTACTCGGTTAAGCCAATATAATAAATTACATGGCGACAGTGGCGATAATCAAATGAACAACAGCAACAACAGCAAAGTGCAACATGCGTCCCGACCGAAAGTCGTTAAATAAAACGCACTGAAAAAATGTTTTTTCCCTGCCCTGCATGTATATATATATTTATATATATATATATGCAGTATTTTTTTCTGGTCAGCGGCTGCAAATTGTCAGCGAAAATGAAATAAAAATTAAACTGAATGCGCAGGCGCAGAGACATCGAGAGCGGGGGGAAATCGGGGGACTGACAGGACCCCCAGCGGCGGCGCCACCAGATACAAGATACAGATACGAAATGTGGATTGGGATTGGGAATGAAGGCAAAGATGCGACATATGCCGAAAATTTTCAACAGAAGTTCGGCTCACAGGAATTTCGCATACAATTTCAGCAAATTTTCAGGTTTCTCGTTTTGTTTCCTTTTCTTTTGCTTTTTCTCGTAACCAACTTAATTGCAGTTGACTTGGGGGGCTTAAAAGTATCATTAGCGCAATGAAAATCCTTTTTCCCTTTTCGCTACCAGCGATAACAACAATTACGAGCACAAACAATTAAAGCGAAATTGAGTTGTCAATCGGAGTGCGGAGTGGTGAGTGGGATGGGATGTCATGTAAATACATTTGAATTGAATTGCATGTGAAACACTCTTCAAACAGCACTCGACACTCGTCAGTTGCTCTGGGCCATTGTCTGGGTTTTGGGTTTCGTCTGTTTCGTCTCCCTGAGTCTGCACCTTTTTGGTCTAATTAAGCGCCACAATTAAGTGCAAATGTGTATCCCCGTGTGCTGGTAATGTGCACCGTAATTACGCACTGCAGACGAGTTGGTAACATTTTTTTATGGCCAGCGTTTTTGCGTTTCTAGCGGAGCGCGGGGGGAACGCGGCTTGGTTACAACTGTTAATTTGTGGTCAATACCACACGATATTTCAGTTGCTACCATGTTGGAAAATTACCTCTCCGAGTTGTTTTTTTTTTTTCATTTTTTTCGTGGCAGG